CCACACACACACGGAGTCAGCTCAGAGTGGGCGAAAGGCTCGAGCGCAAGTCCCGAAGCCACAGGATGCTTCGAAGGAGGCATCAGCGGCAACTCCGTTACCCTGGTCTTCGCGATGAGTTTTTGGATCTGACACCAAAAGCAAAGGCAACAAAAGCAGGAGTAAACAAGCAGGACCACCTGAAGCGAATGAGCTTCTGCGCAGCAGAGGAACCATTAACAACAGGCAGAGGCGACTTGCCAGATGGGCAGATGTCTGCAGAGCGCATATGTGATAAGGAGTTAGTATCCAAAATATGCAAAGAACTCATGTAACTCTGTAGTAAACAAACCAATTTGAAAAATGGGCAGAAGGTCTGAGTGCACATTTTTCAAAAGAAGACATACAGATGGGCAACAGGTACCTGAAAAGATGCTCGATGTCAATAGATCATCAAAGAAATGCAGACCAAAACCACCATGAGATACCACCTCTCACCTGTTAGAAAAGGCAGGAAACAACAAATACCGGAGAGGGTGTGGAGGAGAGGGAGCCCTCACGCACTGTTGCTGGGCGTGGAAACTGGTGCAGCCACCGTGGAAACCAGTACGGAGGTTCCTCAAAAACCTGAAAACAGAGCTACCGTATGATCCAGCAACTCCACTGGGTGCTTATCTGAAGAAAATGTAAACATTAATTTGAAAAGATATGCGCACCCCACGTTCATCGTGGCATTATTTACAATGGTCATGACATGGAAACAACCTAAGTGTCCACTGATGGATGAATGGATAAAGAAAATGGATAAAATATTATACATATTATGCAGTTATGGAAAAAGAATGAAGTCTTGCCATTTATGACATGGATGGACCTTGAGGGCATTATGCTAAGTGAAATAGATATGACAGAAAAGGATAAATAATGTATGATCTCACTTACATGTGGAATCTTAAAAAAAATGAACTCATGCACATAGAAAACAGGTTAGTGGTTGCCTGACGAGGTAGATGGGGGGGTGGGGGGTGAAGGGGTCAAACGGTGCAAATTTCCAGTTACGAAAGGAATCAGTCATGGAGACGTAATGTACGACATGGTGGCTATACTTAATAATACTGTGTTGCGTATTTGAAAGGAGCTAGGAAAGTGGCTCTTGAAAATTATCACAAGAAAAAGTATGGGGACAGATGTCAACTGGACTTCTTGTGGTGATCATTTTGCAATATCAAATCGTTACATTGTACGTGTAAAACTAATACAATGTTCTGTGAACGATACCAAAGAATTTTAAAGGAGAGGAGAGCCAGGATCACCAAGGAGGGTCAGGTGGCCTGTCTGGCCCGCTGTGGTCTTCCTCTCAAAGCCCATGATCCCAGTCTAACCATGAGAAAAACAGCAAGCAAATCCCAGGGGAGGGGTAATCTGCCTGACCTATACTCCTCAAAACAAGGTCATGAAAGACATGAAAATCTGAGGCGCTGCCACAGCCAAGTGGAGCCTAAGGACACATACGACTGAGTGTGATGTGGTGTCCTGGTTGGGGTCTTGGAGCAGAAAAAAGGACATCAGGTGAACATTGGTGAAGTCCAAATAAAGTATGGAGTTGACAATAATGTATCGACATTGGTGTCTTAGTTGTGTCAAAACACCCTAGAAACAGGAGATGCTCGCAATGTGGGAAACTGGGAGAGGGGCATGTGGGGACTCCCTGTGCCACCTTCCTAACTTCTCAGTGAAACTCTTACAACATAAAAAGGTTATTTTTATTGAAGAAAACACTCAGTATAATAGAAAATTCCATAGATGTTTTTGGTGCTCTGCATCAAAATGTTCTGGTTCTACATTAAACAGCTGATTTATTTAATTTTAATAACTCTTCTCTCTAGACATATTTGGGACACTTCATAAATGCATTTCTGGTTGAAAATAGTTTGCTTTTTCTCATTCAGCGACTTTAGTTTCTCTAGCCTGCAGTGAGCGCGCCGCACTCTTACCTGGCTGTGTGGGGCTGCCTTACAGGGACTGCCCGTCCTCTTCTGTCCCTGCAGCTTGACAGTGAGACAGCACTCACGGTGGAGGGTCTCTGCCCTAGTCAGATGCCAAAGCTGTCATTCCTGCCTCAGCGGGTCACTGTGGACAGAATGGCCGGCGGGGTAACAGAGAAGAAGAGCATTTGAGATCAGTGGGAGCCCCTGGGGGGTGGTCTGGTACCTGTCGGCAATGGGGGAGGGAAAAAGAGCCAAAACCTTCAAGTGCCTTCTTAGGATGCGCTCTTCTGTACGGTCAAAGGACAAAATACACATTTTAACTTTCCTTAAAATGTTCAAATTATGGAACACAGTTAACAAAGTGTGCCAAATAAGTTAGATATTTAATGAAATTTCTCTCATTCTATTATTTATTATACTGTAAAACAAAAAATGGCATTTAATTAAAAGCTTCCTTCATGTTCATTTAAAAATGATCATCTGAAGATAATCAATTTACACTTTACTGCCTTCTGAAGACAAGTAGGAAACTTAACTTATCCCTTTTTCTGTCGGTAAAGCAACTTGCATTAAGACTGATGTTCTAGGTGTTGGGGGGGATAATTTTAGCAATCGTGTGCTTGTTTGCCAGATGACCCTGGTGTCAGGATGTGCTTGCCAACAGCTTGCCAGCTGGGTGCATGAGTTACAGCCTGGTCTGACCCTGGTTTGACATGCTGTTGGATAGAGAACACATCCTGTTTTGTACAGCTTTAGACACCAGAATTAATGAAAAAGAGTACATTTTGTAGATGTTCTTTATTAGGATTAGAAAAGTCCCTTCTTTTCCCGGTTAACTGAGATATTTTAATGTGAACGAGTGTTGGGTTTTGTCGAACTCGTTTAATGTTCTACTGTGATGATGGTGTGTTTTTTGTCCTTTATTCTATCTGATGTTTTATGTTATTTTTGGATTGTAAACCAGCCTTGCACTTGGGAGATAAACCACACTTGGTCACGGCATGTGCCCCGTTTTGCATGTCACTAGATTCAGGGTGCCTGTGTCTTGTTGAGGATCTTTGTGTCTGCTTATGAAGGATATTGTGTTTGGTGTCTGGCTTTGGCGTCAGGGTAAGACTCGTGGAGTGAGTCGGCAAGCTCCTCACTCCGCCGTTCTGGAGGTGCCTTCCATTGCTGAGGTTTCCTGGGGCTCTTTGTATATTTTGAATCCACTGTGATTTGCAGAGAAGTTTGATGGAGTCCAGCTTTTTGCTGCTTCCTTTCGTGGACCACGCTGTGCTGTCGGTGTGTATCTAGCACAACATTACAACGATTTTCTCTTAAGTTTTCTTCTAAAAGCTTCGGAGTTTTACACTTTACATTTATACTTATGATCCGTAAATTATAGAGTTGGCTTGTTAACAGCTATGAAAAATCCTGCTGGCATTTTACTGGGATTATACTGAATTTATAGATCAGTTTGGGAGTCATTGGCGTTTTAATGTTGAGTATTCTAATCCATGAACACAGTGTAGCTTTCTGTTTATTTAGGGGTTCTTTGATTTCTTTGATCAGGATTCTGTAGTTTTCAACATACCGATTTGTACCTAAATACATCCTGGGGTGCTGTTATAAATGGCATTGTTTATTTCTTTTCAGTGTCCAATTAGTCATTGGCACTACGTGGACGTAAAATTGATTTCTGTGCATTGACTTTATGTTGATGCTTTGGGCAACGTACTTACTAGTTCTGAGAAGCGTCTTTGTAGCTTCCATGGGATCCTCTATGTACAGTCACATCTTCAGTGAGCAAGGTCCATCTGTTTCTTCCGTTGCACTGCATGCTTTTTTTTTTAATGTCTTTTGTTTGTTTGTTTGTTTGTTTTGTGAGGGAGGTAACTACGTTTATTTATTTATATTTGGGGGAGGTGCTGGGGACTGGACCCAGGACCTCGTGCATGCTAGCACCCGCTCTGCCCCTGCGCTGTGCCCTCCCCCCGACACTCAGTGCTTTTTATTGCCTTTTCTTGCCCTGTTGAGCTGACCAGGACCTCCGGTCCGGGCTGGCTAGGAGTGTTGGCAGTGGACACCCTTGCCTATCCCTGGTTTTAAGGGGAGTACGTTGACTGCTCCGCTGTCAAGGATGACGGCAGCTTTGGGTTTTGCCCCCACCCTCCTGGCCCTGTCGGAGGCTCCCTCCTGTTCCTGGTTTGCTGAGAGGAGTTCTTCTCATGAGCGGATATTTAATTCTGTCAAATGTGTTTTCTGTTGAGATGATCAAGTGACTCTTCTTCTCTAACCTGTTAGTGCGGGGAGCGGCAGTAATGGTTCTCACATGTTGAGCCAGCCACGGCTGGCACTGGGGGACTGAGCCCACTGGGTCGTGAGGGACTGTCCTGTTGCTGGATTTGACTTGCTGGTATTTTGTTTAGGATTTTCGTGTCTGTATTCATGAGGGACATCGGTCTGTAGTTTTCTTTTCTTGAAATGTCTTTGTCCGGTTTTGTTATTAGGATATTACTGGCCTCATAAAATGACTTGGGAAGTATTCCTTCATCTTCTGTTTCCCGGCAGGGATCGTGTAGAATGGGTACCATTAGCAAACACTGAGCCAGAGAGCAGTACCAAGTGCCGAGAGCAGCCGTCTTGGTTAGAGCGGAGGCCCCCAAATAGCCGTCTTAAAGTGCGTGTTTAAAGGAAATTAAGGACACAGATTCCACAGAACCCTGCGCTCAGCATATTCTCTAGGAACGTTAAGGTAGCTAAGGTCGTAATTCAGGCTCCTGAATCACTGTACACAGTTATGATAAGGGAGAGTCTAGAGTCATAAAGAACTGTTCTCATGTTTGCTGACAGTACTTGGTTTACACCCACCAAAATTATCTTTCAGTATTACTTGTATTGAGTATCAATACACTTATGCGTAATACACTGGCATTAGTTATTTTGCTAAAATTTAGTAAAATGTGACACATTTTATATACCATTAAATGGTTCAGATTAAGTTAGGAGCAGATTTTTTAACTGAAGCAATTTTCCTCTTCTTATTAACAGAATATCCAAGGTATCTCCAAGCACCCAATTCAAATAACTAAACCTCAGAATTTTAAAGGTAACACATTTCTTTCTATTTTGCTAAAATCTTGGGTAACATTTTTTAAAAACCTACGAATGTTTGTAATTGCTTCTCTATATAACTAACTGCTTTTCTTTCCTGAAATTCCCCTCTGAATGTGCATGACCAGGATTTAAATGTACATTGAAAAGTAAAACTCAGCTGTGTGATGTGGTGCCTCCCTTTCAGCAGTTCATAAGTTAAAATAGAGGGTAATTACACAAGGGGAGCGGCTCCCTCCTACCAACCCTCCCCCACCGTCTTCCCAACACAGGAAAGACAGACATACAATAGAACTGGCTTCTATTTAAGTCTGAAAATTACTGGAAATGTTTATAAAAACATAGTAACGCTCTCCTTTCTCATAAGCTATTCCACCGTAATGCCGACGGTTAAATTTCTGAAGAAGATAAAGGTCCGATGTGAGCAGAGTAGGGCTCTGTGCCCCCCCCACCGCCCTTTGCTTGGGAGCTGCTGCTTCCCGAGGGCCACAGCCAAACAGCGAAGCGAGGAGCAGTCTTGGTTAAAACACTCGTAGTCGCGCTTAACCAGGACCATGGAGGGCGAGCGTGAGCGGCTTGGCTTCCCACAGCCCTTTAAAGTCCTCCCAGTGGAACATCTTGGGACGTGTGCTTCGCCGGAGGAGAGCTTCCAGGCAGTGAGGCTGGGTCTCTGCGTGGCTCTTGCTGGAACACAGCCACATGTCAGTGCCTGGCCTTTTCTTCATTAAGAGTTCTAGAGAGAACAGGAAATGTTAGCAACAGAAAGTCTAGTGTACTTCCAGCAGTAACACGACACTTTAAAATTACAGTAATAAAAATACTCAGAAAAATCAGAGATCTAGGCTCTTAACTTTCGAATGACGTTTAAGTAACTTTGTACGAGGAGTAGCTACGAACCCGCTCATGACCAAACTCACCGAGTACTCTTGAAATAACGATTCAGGTAAAGAAGACGAAATCCTCACCATCTCTCCGAGGACCGCGTTTGTTTCATCCGAAGGCCGCACCTTCCTATCAGCAGGTACGTGTGAGCCGTGGCAGGGTGTGTGTGTCCTTGGAGCTCACTTAACGTGAGTCATATAGTTCAGACTCTTGAACACTGAGTGATTCAAAGGTGCGTGTAGAACTCATGCTTTAAATCCTAAGGCAAATATTTACATGAAGCACAGATTTCTTATGGGCAGGAAGTAAGAACAGGCAGGCTTTCTGGGTCCCTTCACTTTACCACGGAGACCCCAGCCGCGCCTCCCCGTCCCGCTCAGTTTGCCCGCCCCCGCACCGGCCTGGGCACCTCGGGCGCTACAGCTTGCTCACCTGCCGCAGCTGCTTTGGTCACTCTGCTGTCCTCCAGCAACCGCCAGCCCTGCCTGGACCCCTTCCCCCGACACCGTCTCGCAACCCCTCCACCTCTGTGCCACAGTGCGGACACCCCTTTCTTGATGAGGTGTCCGCTGCCCTTTTCATAACAGCACCTTACCCACCCACACTCAGCCCTGAGCCTCCCCACCCTGACCTCTTTTCCACTCCCTCTCTCGCCGTCTAGCGTACCAGATGTTTCACTCCAGTTGCCTCCCTCTCCTCAAATATAGGCTCCACGTGAGAGGGACTGTTGTCTGTTTTGTTCACTAGTGGACCCCAAGCACACAGCCCGGCACACAGTAGGGCCTTTCTAAAATTCTGACATACAGAATGAAGCGGTGAATAGATACAGCCCACCCTGGAGGCACTGCCAGCCCCACGAGGGCAGAAGAGTTCTCTTGGACTTTGAGACACAGGGATGGCCAGGAGCCCTGAGGCCAGAGGGCCCTGCAGGTGGGAGGTGTGGATGTTGACCTTGATTCGTTGGGGAGGGAGGGTCGAGCTTCACCAGGGGAGGTCGCAACAACGAGGGACATTGTGGGTGACCTGAGTTAAGCAGAGCTCTCTATCTGACAGACTTTTTGCAGATCGAGTTGCGCATCCTTGCACACTTATCTGGGGATCCAGAACCTCTGAAGTTATTCCAGGACTCGGAAAGAGATGATGTATTTTCTACCCTGACTTCACAGTGGTAAGATACATGAGCTCATAATATTATCAGATCCTTAGGGATGCTGACATGATTTCAAAAGCCTGAAGTTCTTCCAAAAGCTCTTTTCGTAAGAAAGAAATCATGCATTTCTCTAGTAGTTACTCTTTTGGAAGAGCAGAGAACTAGGATGCCAAGAGGTTCCTAATTGTGAAAGAAATGATCGCTCTTCACCACTAGAAGAGAAGCCAATCGCTGCAGAAGGGAGTAGAAGTATCGAACAGTGAAAGGTGCAGGTCCCGCCTTCCCCCAGATGACAAAGCCCAGGGCCCGAAGCAGCCCGAGGGGGAAGTCACTGAGCCCTCCTGTGCGCTGAGGTGCAGAACAAGTCTGCACTGTCTCCCTGCTCGTCCTCACTGCCGGTCATTATTGCTTGTTGGAATAAACTTTGCCTACTTGGGCTTTTCTCCTTTCAGTTTGAGGCCTGGAACTCCTCCCGTCTGGGACAGTGATTGCCTTTCCTCAGGGTGTGGTGGGTGCTGAGGCCCGAAGCCAACAAGAGCAGCTCAGGCCCTGCCTGAGCACCCCCCCGCCCCGCCCCAGCTCACAGGCTCTGCGGGGATCGTGCCCGCCTGCGGCACAGCCCTGACCCATGCCTCCAAGTCCTGGCGCTTCCTCCAGGCCCGCTGCTCCCAGGGAAAGGCCCTTCTCCTTGGTGTGCACCACTTATTCTTTTTAAAATTAAGATATAATTCACACACCATAAAATTCACCCTTTTACAGTGAATTCAGCGGGTTTTAGTCCATTCGCAAGGTTTTGCAACCATCATCGCTGTCCAGTTCTTGAACGTTTCCATCTCCCTAAAGAGAAACCCTGTTCTTCTGTCCCCCGTGGAAACCACAAGGCTGCTCTGTGTCTCCACATTCGTCTGTTCTGGACGTTTCACGTTAATGGAATCATACGGCGTGTGGCCTGTCAGCGCCTGTCCCCTTTCACTGAGCCTAACGCTTCCAAGCTTCCTCCAGGTCGAGTGCATGTCAGTACTTCATTCCTTTTATGGCTGAATAATATTGCATTCCGTGGAATGATGTATTCTTTGTATTTCAGCATAAACAAACAAATGATACTCCATTTGCTTATCCATTCATGAGCTGGTGGGCATTGGGGTTGTGTCCACCTTTGGCTGTTGTGAATAATACTGCTATGAGCATTCATGTACAAGGTTTCATGTGGAAATAAGTTTTCATTTCTCTTGGGTAGATACCTAGGAGTAGAATTTCTGTGTCATAGTAATTCTGTGTTTAACTTTTTAATGTGGTAAAATGACCTAACATAAAATTTACCATCCTAACTATTTTAAAACGTACAGTTCAGTGGTGACTGTACTTAATTTACTGAGGAACTGCTGAACTAGTTTCCCAAAAAGCGGCACCCCTGTACACCCACCGGCAGAGTGTTGGCTTCTGATTTGTCCACCTTCTCACCAGCACTTCTCATTGTCTGCCTTTTGCTTGCAGCCATCCTCGTGGGTGTGAAGTGGGGTCTTTGTGGTCCGGATTCACGTTCCCTGATGACGGCCAGCGTTGGGCGTCTGTCTTACTCTCTGTCTCTGTCTCTTTCCCTCCTCTGCACCTTTACCCAGGTGCACCTGCCAGGGCCTTGCTCACGCAGCTTTCTCTGGGTGCTTCCTCCCGGAAGATGGGCCTTCTTCGGTCTCACTTTCTCTCCAGTTAGGGTATAAGAGAACGGAATTTTTAAGGCATGTGATAGATTTAATAACCCCCCTGCCCTCTCTCCAGAGGTGAGAGAGGTAGGTGATGGTTCCGACTTGGTCAGGAAGAGTATTTTGCTTGTTTGGTTCACACCTGGGCTTTGCTGCCACCTCAGTGCTTTGACGGAGCAGCACTCTGTGTACTCTCCTCTACGGCGTGTGGCAGAGTCTGTCTGTGATTCAAGGCGAGTGTCTGTGCGCAGATCACCAAGCACGTTCTTTGTTCGATGGGCCCAAAGCTACTCTGACTGCTGCTAAACAAGTGTTACAGCAAAACACTTCCGCCAAGGCATCAGGCAAAGGGTGCAGCTGGAGCAGTGCCAGGAGGGAAGGCGCAGCCCCACCCAAATGCTCACGTCAGAGATGAGGAGAGACCTTGGATAAATCACCTGACTTTCTAGCTCAAGAACCTGAAAAAAGGGAATAAGGAAATAATGAAGATAAGAGCAGAAATCTGTGAAACTGAAGATGGAAAATCAATAGAGACAATGAATGAAGCACAACCCAATTCTCTGAAAAATCAATAAAGTTGATCAACTCTAGCAAGACTGACAAAAATTAAAATAGGCAAGACACAAAGCATCAGCGCCAGGAGCGGAGCAGAGGGCGTTAGCAGGGCCTCCGCAGCCGTCAGAGGGGCCGCAGGGCTGCTGGGAGCAGCTTGACGCTCAAAGACCCAGCGATTTAGGAGAAACGGACCGGTTTCTCGAGAACCACAGTCAAAACCCAACTAAGGTGAAATAGGTAACCTGGATAGTCCTGTAACTGTTAAAGAAATTGAACTTGTAGTTTAAAATTTTCCGAAAAGGAAATCCCCAGAGCCAAATGCCTTCCAAGGAGTATTTTACCAAACAGTTAATGAATTAACACCAGTTGTATGCAGCCTCTTCTGGAAAACAGAAGAGGAAGGAATACTTCCCAGTCACTCTGTGAAGCCAGTGTTACTCTGATACTAAAACCACTGAGAGTAAATACAAAATGAAACAAAGCAAAACCCCTCTACAGACCACAATCACTCCTGAACTTAGATGCAAAAACTCTCAGCAAAATATTAGCAAACCAAATCTGTAACTGTGTCTGTAAGTAATTACACACTGTGTCCCAGTGGGATTTTATTCCAGGTGTGCAAGGCTGGTTTAACATGTGTAATCCACCAGGTGATCAAGCTAAAGAATGAAAATAATTATATCAATTGACCAAGACAAAGCATTTGACAAAATGCAATTTTCATTCGTCATGAAAATTCTCAGTAGCAGTTTAGAAGGAGAGGGAACAACCCCAGCTTGACAAAGAACGTCTGTACAGCCTGACAGCTAATATCATGTTTAATGGTGAAAGGCTGATTCTCTCCCCCTAAGATCAGCAACAACTTATTAATACTGAACATTGAAGTCCTGGCCACTAAATAAGGCAAAGAAAAGAAATAAACAGTATACAAGTTGGGAAAGAAGAAATAAAACTGTCTCCATTTATAGATGATATGGTTGTCTATGTAGAAATTCTCAAAGAATATATAAGAAAAAAACCATTTTTTAACTCCTAGAACTAATAAATGAGTTTAGCAAAGGTGCAAGACACGGTATCACACGTAAAACTCAATCGCATTTCTATAAACTGACAACAAACATGCATAAGTTGAAATGTAAAATGCAGTACCATTTACATTCACTGCAAAGATAATGAAGCACTAAAGTATTCAGTCGGACAATATATATATAGGATCTGTGTGTCTAAAGTTACAAAATGCTGATGAAGGAAATCAAAGAAGATCTGGTAAGTGGAATGACAGTGTGTGTGCATGAAATGGAAGACTCAACAGGGGAAAACTGTCAGTTCTCCCTAAATTGATCCGTAAGTTTAACGTAATCCTTGGTAAAACCCAAGCAAGTTTTTTGTGGACATAAGACAAGCTTATCCTAAAATTTAGATGAAAACACAGGCCCTAGAAGAGCTAAAACAATCTCGACAAAGAGTAAAGTGGGAGGAATCAGTACCTGATGTTAAGACCTAGCGTGCGATCGCCCGGAGAGCGTGGTGCCGGCAGGGGAGACACACAGACCAGCGGAACAGAAGGACGGCCAGGACCGGACCCTCACAGACGAGCTCGGCTGGTTTCTGAGAAAGGCACGAAGCTCCGGGCAGGAAGCAATCCGCTTCGGGTTCCTGTTCAGCTGGTCACTCACGAAGGGGCTTGAGAAGCTCGCTTCTGCACCCGGTCCTGTGTCTGCCTTCCTGCGTTTTATTGTCTTGAACTAGATTTGGGGAGAACTTCAAAAATAAGACGCTTTTGATGTTTGCACGATGGTGGCCCCTAATCCCCTACCAGCGCAGCAATCCAGCACTTGTGACTTATACTGTAATTAGTTGCTTTGGAAATGGTTTTTATGTTCCAAACAGAGGACTGGAATGGCACGTGGTAAAACAGCAGCAAGATCAAACACACTCTTAAGAATGTTTCATGTAAATGCCTTATTTTTTTGAAGCACAAAAAGCAAAAAGGCAATTCGATGTTATTTTCTGAGATATTTAGTAGCATTTTCAGAGAGTAACAGTTTTCTTGAACAACCTTTGAGAATATGTAGATTGTATACAAAAATGGAGGCTCGGAAGAAGTCTTAGAGATGCTCTGCGAAGCTATGACGTGACCGATGAAAGCCTGGAGCCCAGCGCGCTGGGCCGGCCCGCGGGGTAGCGCAGAGCCGCGTCCGGGGCTCAGAGCCGCCTGCTCCAGCGCCAGCGTGTCCTGGTGCCCGCGGAGGACGCAGCCGGTCTGCACTGAGGCGGCCTTCCTCGCAGGAGTCATTACGTATGTGCCCAGTCAGGTGGTTTCCTAAAAGTCTTACAAAGTGCAGATAAAAAGCATTTCTTATCTGTTGTACATCCACCTCAACATTTTCAGACTGAAACTTAAAAAATGACTGTTCACTGCAGAATATACTAGTTTTTCTTCTGCTTAAGACTTTTCTTGGGTGCTTTTCTAAGCTGTTCCCTCGTAAAGCAGGTGTGGTGCTGGGGGCCGCTCCCCATCCCCGGGGGAAGGCGGTGCTTCCCTACCTGGGAGGTGGCAGACTCGGGCGTGTGGCTTGCTCTGGCTAATAAAATGTACGCAGAAGTGACGTGTGTCTCCGAAGCTGAGGCTTTCAGAAACTGCACGCGGCTCCTCTTGCTCTGTTTGTTCACTGTGGCCGCAGCTGCACAGTTGACAGAGGCCGCGCTGTCATCCTGCGATACAAACGGTGGACCAGCCTGTGACGGAAGGCTGGTGAAGGT